AGGACAAGAATTTTGGATTTTACAACTGGATTTGTGAAATCCAACATTGGCAACAACGATTTGAGTCATCGGAGGTTGTATGGATCTCCAGAGATAGTAACCAAGTTGCTGACACTTTAGCTAAGAGCATTCCACATTCTCAAGTATTCATGCCTTATTTTTACATCCCTCGATGTCTTGTAATGGCTTTGCACAATGATCACATCTCATCAATGGAATGAAAGTTTTTATGTGGTAAAAAAGAGAGAGAATATAGGGATTGCTCATGACAGATCATTTCAAAATCATTATCATTTGATGGTATCTCTAGCACCATTGTTACCTCTCTTCTTTCTTTGTATGTAACTTTTTTTTTATCTAACGATTTGACTTTTAAAATTGAACTCATTAAACTATCCATCAGCATTGTTCACGCCCATGATCCACCTATTATCAACATGGGTTCCTACATTGTTGTTACGTCGAACTCCTCATGTATTGTGTTTCATACGATAGTTATGCTACTACAATTTGCTAAACTTACCAATAATCTCAATCTTTTTACCGTCAATGTGAATAAAACATTGTTTTTTCTTGTATTTTGTTTTCTTGTTTTTTCTTGTATTATGGATCTAAATGGTAACAGCGGAATCTGGCTGAATTTTGCTTAATTGCAAAATCTTGCTGAATTTGTAGTGATTTCTTGCGGAATTTGGCAGAATATCTTGAAATGTAAATGGTAACAGCTGAATCTTACTGATTTTATTTTTAAAATTTATTATTTATATAAACCTATAAAAATTAGATAATTAATTTTATTAGTTAAATAAACTAACAAAATATTAACTTTTACATTTCTATTTAATAATTTTATTAAACATAAATAACAACATAATTTAACGATAAAATTTGCAATTCAAAAAATTAAAAATGAATTTATCTTACAAGTAGAGTAAATAAATCCAAAGTTTTGTTTCAATAAAATTTACGCTAACTGTTGAACTTTTTGTTTAGAAAAAATATTCTTATATTTTCTTTAACTCATATTAGTACAAACAATTACAAAAAAAAAATCAAATCGAACCGAACCAAAACAATTAAACTTAAAATACATAAACACGAACTTTGTTTTAAAAGTAATAAACTACATAAATTATCTAAAAATTCTATAATTATAATAACTATCGAAAACTTTTGAAACAAAAATATCTATAAATTATTCAAAATTATTTGTAATTACATGAAATACTCAAATATGATAAAATCTTTACGTGTTTGATAATGATTTTAAATATCAAAATCATATATATTATATCCATATTATCCGATTCATTTTTCAAAAAAATATTTTTGATGTACTTTCGATCTCCTAAATATTACTTTATAACTCAAATATTCGCTCTTATCCAATATATTATCCAAATTAAACATATATATACATTATTTGGTGTTGAAAAATTTTGTGAACATAACTGAATCTTGCAATATATTTTTTGCTGAATTGCTAAATATAGCTGAATCAGGCGGAATTTTTTTACATAGCAAATGGTAACTGCGAAATTGTTGAATCTAGATGAATCTGGCTGAATGTGTTTTATATGTTACCATATATAGCCTATGTTTCTTTTGTTTTGAATGGAAATTCACAAAAATATAAAAACACACTAATTAATGGCCCATATATGTGTTTTGGACTTCTAGCCTTCACGGCTTTACATTGCAAGACCCGCCGTTTACATAATGTATAGTATTCAACTAGTTACTCTGCATTTGATACGTTACCAACTTACCAGTTACCATCGCAGTTGTCATTCGATTTTACCAATGTATTTTTTTTGTTCCAATTTCATCAGCCTATAAAATTTACGGTAACAAATTATGTTTATAGCAGCCTAGTAGCTCACGCATATGAAAAAAAATTCTCCTCTTGTTCATCATCTAACTCATCATGAATCCAAACCTACACAATGTATGTTGTTATAGATAATCTTTTGCCGTAAAATTAGGGTAAACTTTCAAAAATATAATGTTTTGCATAACTTACAAACTGGGTAGGGTGATTAATAAATTTTTTCTTGTTTGACATTGGGTGATTAATGATTTCTAGCATCATAAATATATTTACTTAAAAAATTAAAAAAAAATTAGTGGAAGCTGAATTTCGAAATAAGAAATTCTATGTGAATTCGGAGAAAAAATGTTAGTGCTAAAAAATATTTATAAATCTGGTATGAATAAAGAAATATATGGTGAAATTAGACTTATATTGATATGGATCAAATATACAAAAAGATATCGAGTGATATGTGTTTACAATCTAAAATATAATATTAAGGTTCTCGTAGATGCAAAAAAGTTGGCGATTTTCTCGGACGCCGCATATTTTGGGTCAGCTCCGCATATCTCGGATCCGCTTGAGTCAAAGATCTCTTTGACTTGTTCTCAACTTTTAAGCTCAGTTTCCGTTGATTCTCCGCGTTTTGAGCTGATTCGGACCCGTCATATGGGCCTAATACTTTTACATGTCATTTGGGTCTGTTTTAGGTTTGGACCGAAAATCCAAATCTTTCGATATTTTAGTTTTTCTCTGGATTGATATGGGCGGTATTCGGTGAATAATCCAACTTTATTATTATTAACTAAAATGGTTTTTAAGATTATTCGGCCACTAATTACTCAGTCATTAGAAAATCCCTAATTTTTTGGTTAAAAATCCCTTATAAATAGCGAAACAAGTGTACAAACTCGCAACTATTTATTGTCCCAATTATCATTATTTTTACCTCTAAATTTTCAAATAAAAATGGCAGAGACGGACGCAATCTAGAATATGTGAGGGTAGTTTTGTCTTTGGGCTTTTCTTTTAGGGTTTCGAAAGATCTGGGTTTTTGCTCTCCTCCATTTCCTACTCCTCGAAGCAGACTGAATA